AGTAGCAAACTAAAATACAAAAATGTTCACTATTTTCTTTTATTTTCTTCTCAATCATTTATGGAAGTGCCAAAAAGCCTGATGACAAAAAAAAAAGTCAAGAGGACGAGCAAATTTCGGCAGGTTTAAGTTAAGCTCATCTCCGTTTGCAAGCAAAATGTCAGCAAACCAGTTTCATTAAACGATTTAAATTTTTCTTGTTTGCCATAAAATAAACATCTTATCAACCGAGCCAAGTCGGTCTGTATGGGAGAATCTTGACCTCGGTCGTGTGTACAGACCTCACCGCGTTCGGTCTGTACTCACGAACTCGGTCAAGATTCTCCCATACAAACCTCCTGCTCGGTTAATAAGAGCTAAATATTGGCCTTTTTCCTTTTTGCGTCTTTATGACCCTTGTCTCCTTCCTGGTCTATAAACACGAAAAAACAAGAAAAAAGAAAAAAAAAATTGGCCAATATCCATGCAGCCATCTTGACCTCACGCTTGGTCAATCACCCATATGTAATATTGGTATGACATCATCAGTCTATTTTTCACATTTTTCAAACGTAAATATGTCCGGACCCAATGCAGATATTTGCAAGCGGTAAAGGGCGTTTTTAATCTTTCTTGGAATTCTATGCGATGAACTTATTTATAAGCTTATCGTTACTGAAGGTTTACCGTCTTTCAATAACGGAACGCTTAAATTTAAGTCGGATTGCTCAATTAACTTTCAATATCTCACACGAAAAACTTACGTTTCTACGGTGTTCAATCCCATAGCTTTAAGTTTGAGTAGCCGATCTCTCCAATATTCCGGCACAACTCTAAAATAGTGTATTGATCCACTGAGAATTCGAAAAGGCTTTGCTTCAAGCATGAATTGCTCCTTTGTTACTATTAAACGACTCCTTTCCTGCAGGGGCATTCTTTTGCAATGTTGAAACGCCATCCATAGAATAAGACATACTGAAAGTCCGACAAGTATCAGCAAGGGCTTCCCGCGAAAATAACTGGTTCGTGTCATCATTGTTCCACGTACTTGATAAACAAACTTGATGATCCAGGCTGCACCCGATGACAATGAAAAGTTGACTTATTGTATAGTTTTAACACATCCCGAAAACAAGTGTAAAAAGAAGAATATGCATTCAAAATAGATCCTAAAATTTATTCCTTCCTCTCACAGATTATGGACTGCAAGGTGCACAAGCTGATATCGTTCACGACTCAGTCAGCCGCAATATAATTAATGACTATGACGTTAGTTTGGCGTTAGTCCTTTGGTTAGCATGTCGGTAGACACTGTTGATTTCACATGCAACAATATCAAAACCAACTCATTCAGTTTTTAAAAATATCACAGTACTCTGAATTTCTGTATGCTAGTAGCTTAGAGAGTTGATGCAGTACAAATAAAGCTTGTTGTTTTTGGTTAATTAGCTGTAGAGACCAAACCATACCGATCCCCTACTCAGTATGTTAGTCGACGGCTCTTCGACAGAGGAAGTGGAAGCAGAAACCGAGCACATCGCGCCGCCGAAAAATACCCACGGCATTCGCAGACTACGCTAAGTTCGTACATACTACCGATGGAAAATATTAATTACTTTAAGACAAAATAAGATCCTTTTACCTTTACAAGGCAGAGTATGAGATCGGCTTGACTGTTTTGTTCTGTGTACGTGCACATACAGTGTGGCACTAAATGTTTGTGCAAGAACTAATTTTTGCCCCGGGGGTACTCCCATATAAAAAGGACAGGGGTGCTCGTTGGAAATTTTGAAAAGAACTCCTGAGAGGTACCAAGATCCTGTTTTGTGGGCGTGGCTTGCATTTTGTTCACCTCAATTCTAGAGCATTACATCCCCTTACACTGACTTCTTTCAACTCAATACCCTAAAAGGTACTGCCAAAGCTCCTGCTGTGGGGCCTTTAGAGGATTTACACCCTAAGAGGTACCAAGTCGGCTTTTTTAACCCCTAAAAGGTACGCCGAGCACCCCGCCCCTTTTATATGGGAGTCCCCCCTCCCCTCTCTCCCGGGATTTTTTCGATTGCTTAATTAAGGTGGCCCCCTATAGTTTTACAATCGCAAGCGCGCTGAGGACGAAAACTCAAGTAATCTGCGCGCGCTCGAAGGAAAACGTCATTTTTTTTTTGATATTTTATTACGTCAACATGAGCACAACAAGCAAAACTGACAGTGAATTTTCTTGCGTTTCCTTCGGTGAAATTCCGTAAAACTTGGCAGATTGGTAGTAAATGTTTTACTTTAGTCGGAGCTCGTTTTTCAGGGAAATCTATAAGACCAGTTTTCTCGCTGCGATAAAAGACGTAAATTTGCAAAAATCGAAAAACCTGCCTTTACAAACCCTACGTTTTTCGCCTTTAAAATTCGTATCCCGCAGGAAGCGATATGCTGTGAAAAAATCGCAAGTAAAGCCATAAAAAAGCAAAAAACATATCTGTTTGGGCATTTATAATTCAAGACTAAAACCGATAATTTTAACAGAGCTAATAGTAAAACACTATTTAATCATTGCTTATTACATGTAATTAGTTTGAGAGGACTGGGTGGAAAAAACGAATGCAAAAAACGGCATTCAAAACATAACACTTGCGCGTGCAACGCCATAAATGATTTAACCTATGGAGCCACCTTAAGACTGGTTTTTCTTGCTGGGTACTAATTTTTGCGCTTATCGGGAAGCCGCGTTTAATTGACATTACAACATTTAGGCATTTTTCAAATTAGATTACCTGTAAATTGACAAGTGAAACAGCATGAAGAGATGTCACCGTAATCAGTGTCACTCTATCACAATATTGAATCGTGTTCTTCTGTGGCTGATTGCTCCGGCAATCGATCAGCAACAACATTTCCGACTAAACGAATTGAAAGAGACGTTTTAAATAAATGGCAGCGAAGGATTCTTCATGCCGGATCTGATCTTTGCATGTATAATTTCGCCAGTGGAGTAAATTTTTGCGGGCACTTTTTTTGGATCGGAGAAAAAACCGCAAAAATCGCAAAAATTAGAACCCGCAAACATTTAGTGCCACACGATAGTTTGATTGTTTGCCGATCTCATTTCAGTGCTATATCGGCAAGTTGCGTCAATTGACGTTCTCTAGCTCTCTATTTTCTAAGCATTCGTGTTCTATTGTCATTCAAAAATAATTACACTAAATAAATCAATATAATATTTAGTATAATTGCAGTAGTGATTAAAAAAATAAAGAATCAAAATTTAACAGAGTTTTTGACCGAAAAGTGAAAAATGGGAAATCTGGAGACCCAGAGGCCTCCAGTGGTTGATATACCGAGAAAGGGCTGGTAGACTGCTTAATTTCCTCTGTTGCGCCAGGTTGGATTTGCTTACAACTCAGGTTCGCGCGAGCTGTTCAGCTGCGAGAATGCGTGAAAAGCACTATCCCCCGATTCATTCGGTATATTGGTGTTTCTTTACAGTTTAATACTGTGTAGAGTAAATGATTGGTGTTGGGGGGTCCGCTTTTAGGCTTGGCTAATTCTGAACATTATTTGACGAAACACAACCTGAGAGTGATGGCAGGAAGTGATAAAACGTCTTCAGAAATCTTTGAAACGTCCCCGGAAATCTCCGGATGTCTTCGGATATAATCGGAACTTCTTAGAAAATCCAAGCCCTCCTGAGATAAAAATCTGACGCCTGCGATTCAGAAAACGTTGACAGGAATAGAAAAATGAATTCTCAATCATGCCCAAATCAAATTACTAATATGACCGTACAGTTCGACAATACGATCCACGAGTCAAAACTAAATAGAAGTCAAATAAGATAAATACAGTGGACTGAGTTTATTTACAAAGAGATCAATCAACACAAAAAATCTACGGCAATCTATTCATTCATTGAATATTAAACCTGCTGTCAACTCGAAATATACAAGCACTTCATTACTGGAGTAAATAGTCAGTCTATACAATTCGAACTTAATAATTTCAAAATAAACTTTGCAAACTGTGTCAGTTACGAAGCCTCATCGGCACCGGCATTTGATGGCTCCGCCGACGGACGAGATGATGACGAATCAGGCCGAGACTTAGCCGAACTTGTCCGAGAGGAACGCGACTTTGGCGACCCAGCTCTCGAGGACTGTGCAGACTTTGGGCTAGCTGTTCTAGATGGCTGTTTAGCGCTACCATGATCTGATTTCTGTGACTTTCCAGACGCTGGCCTTGAAGAGGGCGATTTTACTGAGGTTGGTCGGGACGACGGGTTTTGCCCCGAAGGTGGTCGGGATGAGACTCTTTGTCCCGAGGGTGGTCTTTCGGGTTCCCCAGCCTCGTCGGATTGTTTGTTGTCAGGCAGTTTGTCTTGCTTCACGGGTTCTGGATTTGGTTGTTGTTCCATTATTGTCTCTGCTTCCCCATGGATGATTCTGTGAGCTGCCAAAAGATGTTTCCGCTGGCTTCGCTTCACTGCAGACCAAAAGCAAATAACTGTTTTAGCACTTAATAAGTCGAGAGAAATTTCTCTTCGTTTTTCAAACTAAGCTTTTAAATGAAACATAACGTAACAGAAGCTAATATTCTGTACCGTTCTCTCTCATTGTAATCTTCTGTACTTCAGGTAACAGGAACGACGTGACCAACTCGGCAACAATTTCTTCAGATTGTAGTCTGGTTCGCCTGCAGGAAAGGAGAAAACCTCTGTTTATCGTCATAACTCTCTTTCTTGCAGACGTTTACGAAGTAAAGCAAAGTGTGGAATGGCTCTTTTTTCTGGGGAAAACTTGCCGCATGAAACATGGTACGGCAATTGTTTTTGAAGTGTGTTTGCATATCGTCCTGCTAGTAAAAATTTAGTGAGTAGAACTTTTTTGGAAACCTGCCCATACGCAGAGTTTCTTATGCCAGAGTTTTACACAATGCAAAAGTTCTTACGTTTTCTCCATGTCGTAAGCTACTTGGTTGATCTTTTCTGCTTGTTCTTGGATTTCTTTCCGGGCCTAAGGAAAAGAAAAAGTAAGCGTTATTTTTAACAATTAACGGTTTGAATAACAATGATTTAGTTGCTACCTCACAAGAAAGTTCAGTTGTGTTTCTTCTCTAGATTGTCCGAACCAAACAAGGGATTCCGGCTGGTCACGTAATCTTTTCGTGACGAAAAGATTGCGTGACCGATCCTGGGATGGAGGCGGCCAATAAAAATACAAAACTTATAAGGAGTATGTGAACTCGCCTGTTCATCGGCTGTCTTGTCAATGGCTCCCATGATTATATCTTCAAGGTAAGTATCAACAGTTGATTGATGAACCTTGACAACCTGAACACAATTTAAACAATCACAATCTTAATAAACCACGTGATCTTGACAACCATATACATGGGAGAGAGGGGAGGGGGATCTCATTAAACAGTGCACAGTGAAAGTTTACTTGCACAGTAAAAGCAAGACAACCTATGATTTTGTGACTCATTTTACGATAGAAATAGTCAAGAGATAACCGGGGGTGGGATGTATTTACGTCACGGCAACTGCAATAAAATGTTGAAAATCTTTCCAATTCTCTTTTTCTTTACTTGAATGTTTGTTTATTTGTTTGTTTTTTAGCGTACCTGAAAGGATCTAAATTGCACTACGCCAATAAACTTTTGGCTAAATAAAAACAGAATTATTTCCTAAACGTAATGGAACGCTTTCTGTGCCGAAATCAAGTTATATCTTACTCTCCGGACCTTTTTTCGTCTCGGCTGAATAATACAGTCGCAAGTTGTTATCTCAAGTAATTCTTATTTTTCTGCCGTTCGCAAATTTGGCTTTATTGTTTCTATTCTACGAACATGTATATAATACAATCACAACAGTTTAGGTCTTTTAGGTAAAAATGTCTTAATTATTTAGAAGTTGAAATTCTGAATTTAATACATTTTCAATTTCAAAACTTTCCTTTTTCGAAAGCTATCAATCTTCGGTTTGTAATAAATATCTTTCAGCTGTGCACGGTGACATCAACAGTGTTGTTTTACTTTATTATTCTTCTTATTATTTTTCGACGTGGGTTTAAACTTGTTTACTGTTTTAATAAAGCTAAAGCTTAATGTACATGGGTATATCAAATAGACTTTTTTCAAGCAAAGCAAAGGCACAATACAAAGAAAACCCGAAATTTCGATACAGGTAAGAAACTGTTTTTCAGCGCTTAAAGAAAAATCTTTTACAAGGTATTAAACATCTGCAACTACTAAATCTCAGCTTCCTGTCATTTGGTGCGACATTTACCTTTTACAACGAGTCGTTTCTGAAAACAAAACGGCTTAATTTAGAAATTTTACGACGCACTCCAGTTTTACGACATGAATGCGAGTTTGAAGTAAACATGTCAGAAAGAAAACTAACGTACAACGCGGTCTAAAGAAAAGAAATAGTCACAAATGGTACAAAAAGAAATCCTTATTTTAATATCTTGTGATTGTATAGACATATAAAATCACACCTGTTTGAAAATTTCGTCCTCTTCTCGTCTTCTCCTTTCTTCAAGCTGCCGCCTTCCGCTTTCCTCAGCTTCACGAATTCTTCGTTGACGCTCAGCCAGCATGGCAAATGCATGGATTCTTCTCTCTTCCTAAAAAATAATGAACCATAACACTTGGTAATCATTATATTAAACGAGACATTTCTGCGGCTAAAGATGAAGTAAGACTGACGCGCTTTTTACAAAAGGATACGATTGTAAAAAAATCCAAGAGCGTGGTGATGTGTGGTTTTGATCACTAGCTGTGATTCGCTGAAATTCTTTGACCACATACTGTTAAATTATGACTAGACCAGTGTTTTATGGACCGATAATAAGGAAAGTTACCACAAACAACGAATTTCGCTCCTTGATCAATGTTACTGAAAAGTAATATGAAAAAAAAAACACTGTTTATGAAAATACACCACGCATAAAATTAAAACGAGTTTGATGTTATCCAAAACAATTCCCATATGTTCCAGCCCGTCCCCATTATTGTTTTAAACAAAAACAGTTTGCAATAAATTTTGCTATTTATTATTCTGCTATTGCTATATGCAGCTGTTCTGAAAAAGTCGTTCTTCAAAAGCATATGCGACAATGCCGAAAGGTATTATAGATAATGGCGGTTCACCGTTGCTAGATCGATGCTTGCGATGTTTCAGTGTGACACAAAAAGAAGATAGTGCGCACATTTGAATTCATACTTTCTCCTTGTCTCTTGCTGAAACACCGAGAACCTCAGTCAAGCAAAGATAACCTATCACTTGCCATTTTACCTATCGGCATAGTTGCGTACGGTTTTACGCCTCTGTAGCACAACCTTTGCCGAAACGGCTGCAAGAGATTGATCAGCATAAGATTTCTCCTTATAATATCAACGCAGTGTCCAAAGAAAATCGTCATTAAAAGGTTAGTTAGTCTTGATGTATGACCCAGTTCTCATGACTAACTTAATAAATAATGTATGGCGATACGTAAGGAGATTTCGTATTTCAATCGTAGGGCGCCACAGGATAAGAGGAATCAACTTTACATCGACGCAATAAACAATGGAAATGACGCTTTTGAGTAAAGTTTTCACAACAACAAGAAGATAAAGAAAACATTCTCGAATACAAAGGTGATACTTGAACGATTGGATGGAAACGAGACGATAAACAAAAAAACATTTTTTAACAACACATCAATACAGGATCATGTGTGAGTTCCTGTCTCTTTGTTACCTGAAGTCGAATGAGCTCCTTGCTCAAAAAGTCAAACATGTCGGCTAGAGTAGAACCTTCCATCTGAGCGAGTGCTTCCTCTACAAACGATTCCTGTAAAACGGAACAAGTAACAAAGAACAAGTAAGTATTGAGAAATTTACCCAAGATAAAAAGTTTGTTTCTGATGGGATGAATCCATGGATTAAAAAAAGAAGTTGACAGAAGCAGAAAGTACGCTATTTTAGTGAAAATTCGTCATATCGGGGACCGTTCAAAAGTAGGGTTTGTGATACTAAGAGGTTCGATACAGTGGGAGCTTGTTTTTATTTACTGTCTTGGTATGTTACAAGGTTCGTTATTAGTTCGTATAGTGTGATCGTCCGGGTGAGGGTAGCTCTGAAAAGAACTGTTGTTGGTGACTGACGTTTCGACAACCTGAGCGGAAGTCATCTTCAGAGTCAAGTTCACTGCATTCTACCTTATTAGTGTCCAGTCTCCTTTGCCTTTGTAAGCTCAACACAGCCTGTCGTTCATTTCTCTTGTCCAGCTGACCAGCTTCTTGAAGGGCATGCGTACTGCGCAGCTCCTGAATCAGCTCCAAGCGCTTTTCCTTTCCTTCAAACATCTACATGTAGAATGAAAAAACATCCACTTATTTGTTAAAAAGAACAAATGAGGTGCACTACATTCAGAAACTTGACTATGATCTACTTATTAATGAAGGAGACTGATGCAGGAAACCACTACAACTAAACATGCTGAAACAGTTCTTGCACAAACAACTCACCATATTCTGAATAGCACGGCCGCGGATCACTTTCTGTAAGAAAATTAAGGCCAGCTCCTCCTCTTCTTCAAACTGAAAAACAAGGAAGGAGCATCTTGTGGTAAATTTAATTATCTTTCACATTTACTTACAATCAAAACCACAATGAAAGCCTACATGTAAGAAAAACAGAAAACACAGATAGTAAAAACATGAGATAAAAGATTTGCGTTCTTTACCTGGGATGGGACCTGAACCGATGGAGTCGGAGGGCGTGGTATTGGCTTCTCCACCTTCACCAAAAACTTGAGCGGTTTTTCAGGCTCTGGGGGCCTCTTAGCTAACTCGATTGCATTTGCCACTTCTTCTAACTCCCGCTGACGTCGCTGCTTCCTCTTCACAAATCCTCCTTTCCCACTGGACTTGGGCTTTGGAGCTTGAATCCTAGGCTGTGTCACAAAGTCTGGGAGGGAGGCCTCCAGCTCTAACAGACCCTGGTAGGTGCTGAGGTGGTAGCTTTTTACATTATATTGTTCAGAGCCGCGGTCAAGGAACACGCCTACTCTGGACATGGGAGCATATGTCTGGGAATCGTAGTTAGAGTAGTCTTTGACTATTTCCCTGCGCTCCAGTTTGCCTTCTACTGTTCGTCGCTTTTCGTTCAGTTTTCTTATAGCTGCAAAGAAGACAATCGTTTTGAAAGACTTTTATTACAAACAGTTCTGAACCAGTCAAGCTATGACTTAAGCATTTTCATGTCTGCCACAAACCCGGAGAAAACGAAGTGCTGTATACAGCTTTTTTTATTTTGCTGCATACTGTTTGTAACATTACATTTCAGTCTACAAATGCCTCCTTAAAGTTATTTTCGACAAGGGTTACTCATCATGCGTGTATGAAAGTGTGCTACATGCACATGCGTGTAGAAAAACTCTACACATTCTATAAGGGTGGTGTTTTTTCTAGCTATAAACATGCTGTGTTTGTTTGGACCATTGAAGGCTAACCATGAACGTTAGTTTTAATTAACGAGAAACCTTTCAGAATTAAGCATGCAGCTATTGCCGACTAATCTCTAGATGTCTATTGTGAGAAAAGATTACGGATTATTATTTTGTTATTTGTGAAAGGAAGTTAGTTAACTTTTCGTAAGGTCTAAATTTCAAGTGTTTTCAAGGTGAAGACAATTTCTAATTCTCTGGTAATTCTAGGATAAGTTATACTCGAAACAGATACTCACTTTTGATATGCTCAGTTTGAATTCTCTCAAACTTAGCTTCTTTTTCTTGCTGTTTGTTTGACCTGTGTAAAGACAGCAAAAAGTGCTTCAACTCTTTGTAAATTGACATTTTTTTACTCTTCTCTACAGTCTGTTTTTATAATTTCTGACTCTTGTCATAAAACATTTGTGATTGTTTCAGTTATCATTTTACCATGATAGTATTCATAGTGGTGTGTTAGAATGATGCTTCATAAATGAATGCATAAATNGACAAAATTAATGCTATCCACAAAGTATAACATACTATACAGTGACAACTTGACAAAACTAAGCTATCAACTGGATTATTGAGCATTTTATCACATGCATTACTGCAGCTTTCAATAACATGTGAACTCTGCTCAATCGATGGCTTTGTGTTTTGCTACCACAAAACACTTTAGCAGACATCTTAGGAAACAGAAGTTTACTTCAACAGTTTCAAAAGGTCACGTTTGTGGGTTGTGATTGGTAGATTTTGATCTATTTTGTTTGTTTCTTTATTTGAGTGTTTGTTACCAGTAGTTGTCATCCTTATTATGATTGACACTCTGGCCATATTCATAAGTAACATTGTGAACTTCAGAGTTCACATGTTATTGAAAGTTCACATTCACATGTTATAGCCAGGACCATCATTTTTACATTTCATTTTTCAACATTAAGTAATACAAATTGGCCCAAATGATTCATCTTTTAGTCCCTGAATTATTTCTAACAAATTACTTGTATTGTCAGTGGTGAATCTTTAAATAGAGTTTATTTACGTGGTATATCTGATGAGAGCATCCCTGTCTTGCTCAGCATATCCCCTCCATTGTCGAGGTATGAACTTGGGTACTGGGTCTGTCACCTCCAGGTGAATACCATATCTGGGATAGTGACGCAAGTCACTAAACATTGTCTTGAAGTGTGGAACACGTTTCTGTGCCATGATACGTAGGGAAAAAATAAAATATTCTCAATTCTAATGGAAGCCTTTACAGGTTTATGTACAAGAATGAAGACAATGAACTTTATCACTAGGACTTCCTGTGTGTACAATGTAGTCTAAATGGGCCATGTACATGTACATCTTGAAGAATATTAAAAAACAAAACCCTGCCAGCTCCCATGGTTAAAAGCACAACTTCTGTTAGACCCTCCACTAAACTGTCAGTCCAGCTGTACTGTTTAACAATACATAAAAAAATTAGGATCCGTTACTCGACTGACACACATATTGGCTGAGGTATCAACTGACACTCGACTGACTTTTGACAGATACTCAACAGACACTCAACCGACTAGTCAGTTGATATATCAGCCACATATCAGTCAACGCTCACCCCATAAAAGGCTAATACTTGGCCAATGTATTGACTAAGCATTGTTTGATATATCAGTCAACAGTGTCAACCAACACTAATACTACCCACAGTTAACATGATCTAAAAATTAATCAAGCCTACATGTATGAAATTGGATAACTTCATACCAAGATGAAACTATATTTTGTTCAGGATGTATACTGTACATGTAGCTTATTTGATTGTACTTACAATTCTATCAGTTCCCGTGTGGGCCTTAAATGTAGATCTTGCATGGTCCCTATCACTTGACAATGTGTACAACGGATCTGAAATGAAACAAGTTCTTTTACATGTAACTAACTATTAAACAGTGACCTGTGTGGTCATTGCTTTCATTCTGCGAACCTTTTCTGGCGATCTGATATATAAGTGATTTTCTCTAACACATTTTCAATGTCACATAAGCTAACAGCACAGGTACGTGTAGCTGGCTGCGTAATGCTAATTCCAACATTTGCTTGTTGTGAGTGCAAAGTTTTAATCTGCAGGCTGAGTATTTCGGTCAAAAAGGACACAAAGCAGAAGTTCTTTTGCATTAGATACGAAATAATATTGCACTGAAGATCACATCAAACACATTTCAGACTAGATTTCAGTATGGACGGATTGGGAAAAAGTAGAAAAAAACGAAGAAGAAGCAGACAAATTATCCTGATAACATCACGAGAAATTCTCACCATAAAGGTAGTCATGAGTCCTTGAGTTTTGAAGTTTCCCATGTGTTACTGTTTGCGTTGAAGACATGGCGGGACCAGCGAAAAAATTGTGAATTTAGCTGAGAGAAATTTTCACCGTCCCTCAAAACAAAATGGCCGGCCCGATTTACTCTTGTTGTCATGGCGACCAGGTGGTTTACAACTTTCCTAGAGCCAAGGCTTCTCGCGAGAAAACCCATTGTTGTCATATCAACAGAGTGAAAGACAAGACTAAAGAACTTCGCTTTGTTATCTCTCAAGTTCAAATCAATATGTCTTACGCTACTTCCCAAAATGTTATGCCTTTTGTAAGTGAGCTTAGAGCGACAGGACACGGGGAAGTATGGGATCACACGGACGAAAAGAAACTGCAACAGTTTGGATGGAGATGCACGAATACTGAAAGTTCCTACGACACTAAAACTCTGATCGGAAACTGGAATGAACAACGATTTGATATCAATAGAATTTCAAAGCCAAAACCTATTCCTTCACGGGTAAGATGACTTTAAAGCTTAAATACTACAGTCAGATTCACTGATTGAAGCATGGCTAATGTCTTATGAAATTAATTGGGATAAAGAGTCACTTTTAGCGGCATTTTATTAAGAGCGTTTAAATTTTGAAAATATTCCATTCCTGTTCTGTATTTCCAGTACAATCACTATTTTGAGACAACTTATGGCTCTGGATATCACACTTTCGACACAAGCAAAGTACCAGAGGTGTTAAAACATCTTGAAGGTGAGTCAAAACTTGAAGCTTTTCCCTGCAACCACTTCAAGCGTGACAGAACTGGATTGCGTTACAAGTACATGTTCATTCAAAAGGAATACAGGGTGAAAAAGGCCAAATTACACACTATTATAATCATAATGAAACAAAACTTGGACTAGTCACGTAATTGTAAATGTAGGGATATTCTGGCAAAAGGAATGCCTTGGATGTTACTATCCATATGAAGGAAGGATATTCTAGAGCTTTTTGACGTTACAGGAATATTGCGAGGTCACATTTCTTGCAACCTTGTGAAGATATGAAATTTCTATTGTCATGTAGTCCAGGGGTGACAACATTTACCCATAAAAACTGGTGGTGTGACTGTGGTAAGGATATTGAAATCAAGAAAGGTTAATATAGTTTATTTTCTCTGCTTGCTGAAATAGGGATAACACATTTCTCAAGTGACATTTCACAAGAGATGATTATACAGAAGTCAAGCTGCATTTTTTTTTTCTATTTTCAGCTGTTACAGTTCAATGTGCCACAAATGTGCAAGCTTGATTAATCATATTTGTTTGCCTTTGTTATAGCAAGAGAACCAACAGCATTTCCTGGCCATCAACCTGAGCTTGATCCACCAAAGCTCAAGAAACATTACAACTCCTTTTTAACAACATCCAGAGCAGCCTTTGGTGATCCAACTACACAAAAATAATGCAACAATCAATTAACAATGACAAACACTATTCTTTGTACTTTACATTCAAGACTGAAATGTATTAGTTTTTCCCATCAAATATATTTACACGTATAAGCACATTTTACTGTCAGAAAAACAGTCAGTGACAAAATGAATTTTTTTTTTATATCTTTAATAATTTTGCACATAAAAGTTTTTTAAACTTCATTTCTATAATACAATTCAAATCAAATTCTGCTGCAAAACAGTATGTAAAATACGTAAAGTAGCAAATAAAATTATGAAACCTTAAAAGGTATACATCAGAATAATGTGTTCTCTATCTTCACATCACGCTGTAACAATTAATAATGCCAATAACCAACCCATAGCGGCCCTAATTACTGTGTCACTGAAAAACCTGCCTGTCTGTTGAAATAGATCCATCAAGAACAAGAGGACTAAACATGGAGAAGAACAGAAATAAACACAATTAAACAGACAATCTTCTCATAGTTTGAACTAAGATGTCTTTTTTGTTAGTCCTCTCATAAAAAACTGCAATCCTTTTGGCATAGGAGCTGCTTGAAATGCCTCTTGTTGCTCTTTTTCCTGCAATTTCATCTCTGCCATATCTGCCAGGACATTGGCAATTTGAAATTGAGTCTGCTGGCACCTATAGGTAGGAAAAGCATATAATTAAAGTAGTTTAGGCAATATTATATTTAACAGGATGATTCTTGGAAGAGGACTTGAAATGGCAGATAAATTTCAATACATATAGACCATGATAACAGAAACCAAAATAAAACTTACAGGTAGTCACAAATGAACTTGTCTTACAAAATACATTTGCTTTAACTACCTCGAAACTGATATCCTTAATGATCAAGTGGTTTTTTTTTGAAGGGTAAGGAAAAAAAAGATGAGATTTAGGTCGAAACAGTATATATCCCTGGTGACAAAAATAATAGAGTACGGAATAGACTGTGAAATATGAACTCGACATACCTGTACATGTAGAGATCTATATGATCTGAAGTAGTAAGGAATGCCTCTAGCCAAGTTAAGTTTGTACAAGGGTCAGACATGATGACGTAGTCATCATGACGGAGTGTTTGCTGGAAGCTGTGGGTCATCTCTTCAAAGTTGGCATACTGGCTGTTTTTCTAATGAGAAAATCAAAACTTTTGATTTCTTTTATTCTAAATCAAAATGTGTATTTTCCCCACTGATTCACATATTTGAATTTCCTCGCATATGCTTATACAAGTTTATTGATCAACAGGTATAATTTGCCACAGGATTTCAAATCTGAGTAATTGGAATACTACAAAATCCTCAGAGACTGAGTCTTTGTGCTTTCCAGAAGGAATCCATGTCAGCTTCAAGCGAATCTCAATTAAGCCGCAAAATGCTACTTTAACTTTTTTTTTCCATTTGTTAAGGCAAAGATGTACTGAACTGTTAGAGCCAGCTGAGGCCAGTATAACACTTAAAGAGAGCTGTAGAAATTTCACCAAAAAGCAAATTTTTGACCTCAACATAAATTTGGATTTCTTCTGTTTGTAATCGGTTTATTTCACATCATTTCTTTCCTTTTCAAAATAGATTATTTGAGTGTGGTCCATGGTTGGTTCTGGCCCATGGTTGTGGTTCATGTACATCTCTACGATAACTGCAAATATCAAAGCAATTATCCCCAACCACACAAATGAAAATCAATTTTCTTCGTACTGTAATCTTTTAATTTGCTTTCTTCTACAACTTAACATTAATGATCTTTAAAACCTGACCATGAACCATTACCTGTTTTTCCAACATTTCTTTCACATCATCATGTTGCCTTTGAAACAGAAAATCCTTTTTCATCTGCAAAAAGAAACTTGATGATATCTATAGTGTCTATCTCTGTTAACAAATTCATGCTGATCGGGTTTTCTGAAGTTAGCTGAAGAAATACTGGCAACACACAAACTCCATACTTTATCGTAAAACATATATAAAATGTACCTGCAAAACAGCTTCACGTTCTTGTCTCTGTTGCGAAATAAACTTTTCTGTAGCTTCATGTATGTTCTGCAAATTGACATTGTGTTTCAGTGAGTAAAATATCATGCAAGAGTAGTGTAATATTTGAGATTTGGCAACAAAATCTATTTCATTTGACATAATATTGTCAATGTTACATACAGTTGATCAACTTACAATGTACATAACATTGATAAGTAGGTCAGCATTGAAATGAGCTTGAATATTCATATTTCTATAGCATTATACTTGCCATAATTATGATACCAATAAACAAATTAGTGAAAATGAAGTGGCCCAGGAAGATGAAGATGACAGTAAACCACTGGCTGTAAGGCCGTTTGTCAAGATCTTTCTGAATTTCAGTCCAGCCATCCACCTAAGGAATTGTACAAACCACATGCCGTGGATCAGTAACTTATCATATCATCAAGCAAACAAACTGTGCAGCTTTAACAAGGATGTAAAGAAAGCACTAAGGAAGGTACATTGACGATATATCTAGAATAATTTGACAATCCAATATACAAGCTCTTCAGCATGCTTGGAAGTGTTCTTTACATAGGGATGCAAGCACAAATAGTACCTAGTAGTAACTCACAGTCACAAATGTAAAGAGTGTCAACATTGCTGTGCTGAGAGTTCCCCAGTTCTCTTTATCACCAGTGTCTTCTTCATAACCAAAAATATAATAACCAACAACAGCAAAGAAAGCCATCAGCATTGTAAGGAGAATCACAACATTGAGCACAGAATTCCTGATGGTGTCAATCAAAGCAGTGACAAGAACCTGGAGGCCTTCAATGAATGAAATGGTCCGTAATGTGCGAGCAGCTACAATAGGAAAAAAAAAGCTGGTTTACAACTTACGATGGGTAAGTTTAAAATACTTTATTTGTGGAAATACTCCAAGTTGTTTAGAGCTACAGAAACCAGAGTTATAAGCTCCAGCTACTATGGGCCACTTAGCCTCACACAGACTTGACGTTACTTCTGTAATAGTATTCACTAAAATACAATGAAAAAATCTCCAAGTTAGATATGTATGCTGCTCTTATGTCTTTTCTTACTACAATGTTATTTTAGAAAAACAATTTTCAACATTACATAGGAAAACCCTTGTGAAGGCAAAAAAAATTGTTCAACTTATAATTAATAATAATAATAATAATAATAATAATAATAATAACTGTTTATTCACAAATCCATAGTAAAGTGAAAAGGAGATAAAAGGGGTTATCCCTTTTTAGTTTATCTCCTGATAATAATAACTTATTTCACTTTAAATACAGATTTACTGGTGGCAATGACAAACCTCGCAGAAGTCTTAAAGGTGTTAGAATCTTATCCCCAACATTAAGTTCATCCATAATCACTTGGACATAAGACAATGCCAATATTGAGAAGTCAAATCTGTTGTAACTGCTTTTCCAGTAACCCTTAGGTTCTGCATATAACTTCATGAGGAATTCCATGGTGTAGATGGCAAGAAAGAATTCATCCAAAGCCTTGAATTCATTAGTATATGCCGTCTTCCACTCCTCCACTGTCTCAAAACCAATGGCTAAGGAATTCAGAACTATGACTCCCATGATAAAGCCATTAAATACTGAACTCTGTCAGAGAATTTAAACAAATACAGGATTTGTGTTGGATAGTTGATTGGCTATTCTTCACAATTACACTACTAAGGAGTTTAAAACATCTTTAGCTTGAGATAAGCTTGAGCTTATATCCTAGGGAATGCTTAAAGGTTTTCTCGAAAACAAGAAATAAAGAAAAGAGAAATCCTTGATCCAAAAGCTGTTCACATTTTTACTGTGAATCTGTTAGATATTGAAACTTTATTGATGTGTCAATGCCTTGTGGCCCGAGAAAATCCCATACTAATTTGGGGACACTTTGAAAAGTCCTCGAAAAACGTTTGAAAATTTTTCAATGGAATTTTGGGTTAAAATTGTCATAAGCTTCTAAAACCTTATGTACGATCATCAACTGCTTCTAATAGTTTAACATTCCTACTTACATACCTTATAGTTATGCTACTCTTCATCTTACCGTTGTTATTTTCTGTATATATTTGTGAAACCTGTCATCAACACGGCGTCTTGAACCCCTTCGCTTACTACAAAAAAAACCCCGCCATATTGAGTACAGATGAACTTTCACCCAGCCAACCTTCACTACTATACATTGCCAAGGACTAACACTGAAGGTCGCTGTTGGTCTAAAATACTCTCTTCCCTCAAAACGTACCGTAATAACTCAAGAGTTGCCTGATTAACATTTGGAAACATGCCTGCAAATCAGAGATAACGGACATTGACTAACAAAACGTCTGAGGGAGTGCAGTCGCTGTCGCTCTGTTGTCGCTTACGCTATCGCTGCCTTCTGGCGCGGGCTCTGGGATCTAGAGATATGTCGTAGAATTCTTTCGTACCCAGATCCCCGAATAACAGACACCCTATCAAGTTTCGGATCATGTGTACTAAAGTTCACGAATTTCTAGTTCTGAAACTCAAGGAACTGTCTGAATCGTTGTCCGTGTGTCAACGTGTAACACTGTACAGAGGGTGGCAAAGGGATTTTGCGTGACGCGCGAACGCTCCAAAATTAGCAGCGTGATACGTGATTGAGACCGAATTAGCCGCATGACGCGGGACAGGACATCGTAACGTAATGCCAGGAGCCATAATCGGGGACAGAGACGGAGACCGTAAGTCTTGGGATCCGCGCGCACCTATGATATGGGACAATTTTTCTATTTTTAGAGCAAATTGCGCCATCCGGACGTCATATATCCGCGCGGATCCACGCACATGTCGAGGGGTCTCGTGTGGATTTTGTCACGTTGCGTGATCAAATGGCGAGAGTTACGAGATTCTCTTGCAGATTTTTCACAGCGATGGCAGGGATTAAGGCAGGGAATAGGAACCAGGGCTCTTATATGTAGTTTTATGTTCTAAGCTAATGGAAAAGGTGAGTTTTTCAGGGTCGAAAACATGACTTCGAGTCTTCGATTTGGCGCTGTGAATATTTAATTTATTCAGTTTCACTGCGATTATATAACAAAGAAAAAAAAATCATAAACGACATTACAAAATAATAATAATAATTGTAATAACCACATTAATGAAAGAAATCTTAGTACATAACAAGGCAGCGAGGAAGCCATGAGAAGGGAACTTACAAACCACACGTGCTAGTCAACCCATTATGAAAATAAAATGCATGATCATGAATATATAAAAGCTTAATCATTTAACAAGCAATTTATCAACTATCTACTAACTACCTAACTAACTAGCTAAATAGCAATCTAACTAACTAACTGGCTAGTAACATCCTTACTAACTAACTGCTGATGTTAGCCCAGGTGGTATAGGGGCGCTCAGGGTCGAAAACCTTATCTGTATAAGAAATAGTACATGATCTCTTAAAAGAAGAAACACTAGTGGCAGTCCTCAATTCATCGGGCAAATTGTTCTATAAATACGGAATCCTGTTTAAAAAAAGTTCCCTTAAAAAGTTCCACCCTTACTCTGAATGAATGCTCGCGCTTGTTGTACGCGTAAGCTTTTGCGCTTGTTCTATGAAGAAAAGTTATGTAAGAAAACTCTTTACTCTGGTATCGA